AATTTTGTGGATGAGACCTGGGCACTCCAGCACAAGATTCCTCTCGTGGATCTCCAGAAGACCACCACGGTCTTTGCCCTGGATAGAAGGGTCCTGGCCAGGGTTCACCGTGCGACTGTTCCTTTGAGTCTAGTCGTTTCTGGTAACCATCGTGAGACTATTTCCTTTTTTGTTTTTTCTTCCCCCAATACCCCTGTAGTTTTGGGCCATCCCTGGCTTGTTGAGCATAACCCCCAGATTAATTGGTCCCTAAATTCCATCCTTTCGTGGAATTTGTCATGTCATGTTAAGTGTTTAACGTCTGCTGTTCCTCCCGTGTCATCTGTGTCTGTTTTTCAGGAGGAGCCAGGTGATTTGTCAGGTGTTCCCGAGGAGTACGTCGATTTGCGAGCGGTTTTCAGTCGATCCCGGGCCGCTTCTCTCCCTCCGCACCGTCCGTATGACTGTAGCATTGATCTTCTGCCAGGCTCCACCCCTCCTCGGGGAAGACTGTATTCCCTCTCTATTCCTGAACGTGAGGCGTTGGAGAAATATCTTTCCGAGTCATTGAACGCAGGTACTATTGTACCCTCCTCGTCTCCTGCCGGTGCGGGGTTTTTTTCGTGAAGAAGAAGGATGGTTCTCTGCGCCCCTGCATAGATTACCAAGTCTTGAATTACATAACCATTAAGAACCGTTATCCCTTGCCGCTTATGTCATCCGCCTTTGAGATCTTGCAGGGAGCACAGTTCTTCACGAAATTAGATCTCCGCAACGCATACCATCTCGTTCGCATTAAGGCAGGGGACGAGTGGAAGACCGCCTTCAATACTCCCCTCGGGCACTTTGAATACCGGGTTTTACCTTTTGGTTTGGTCAATGCTCCTGCCGTTTTTCAAGCCCTGGTCAACGACGTTCTCAGGGACATGCTTAACATTTTTGTTTTCGTCTACCTCGATGACATTTTGATTTTTTCCCCGTCTCTCCAGGTTCATGTGCAACATGTTCGTCAGGTTCTTCAACGTCTTCTGGAGAATAAATTATTCGTCAAGGCCGAGAAATGTACGTTCCACGCCCGATCCGTTACTTTTCTCGGTTCGGTCATTTACGCTCAGGGTATTAGTATGGACCTTAACAAGGTTTGCGCCGTCACCGAGTGGCCCACTCCTGACTCACGGGTCTCGCTCCAGCGTTTTTTAGGTTTCGCTAATTTTTATCGACGGTTTATTCGGAACTTTAGTCAGGTGGAAGCTCCTCTTACTGCTTTAACTTCGACCAAGACCCGGTTCTGTTGGAGCGACAGCGCGCAGGCGTCCTTCGATAGCCTTAAGTCCCTGTTCTCGTCCGCTCCCATCCTCATCACTCCCGACGTGTCCAGACAATTTATTGTGGAGGTTGACGCCTCGGAGGTGGGAGTGGGGGCAATTCTCTCTCAGCGATCGCCCGCTGACGAGAGAATTCACCCCTGCGCTTTTTTTTCACACCGCCTGTCTCCGTCCGAGCGCAATTACGACGTGGGAAACCGCAAGCTTTTGGCCATTCGCCTCGCATTAGGAGAGTGGCGCCACTGGTTGGAGGGTTCCTCTGTCCCGTTCGTGGTCTGGACAGACCATCGTAACCTTGAATATCTCCGTACGGCTAAGAGATTTAACGCTCGCCAGGCTCGTTGGTCACTTTTCTTTGCTCGTTTTGATTTTACTATTTCCTGCCGCCCTGGTCCCAAGAATCTAAAGCCTGACGCCCTTTCTTGCCAGTTTGCCCCCTCTGAGCCTAAGCCCTCTGATGAGAGGATTCTCCCTCAGGGGGTGGTGGTGGTGGGTGCGGCAGTCTGGGGACTCGAACGTATTGTTAAGCGCGCTCTCGCTCATTCTGTCACGCCTCGCCTCTGTCCCAGGGGGCTATTATTTGTACCCCCGCCGGCTCGTCGTGCCGTTCTCCAGTGGGGTCACTCTTCGAGGATTTTTGCGCATCCGGGGGTTAGGGGTACCATCGCCTCTATTTCCCAGAGGTTTTGGTGGCCGACCCTGGAACGAGATATTCGCCGCTTTATTGCGTCGTGCTCGGTCTGTGCCCAGACCAAGGTCAGCAACAAACCGCCTGCGGGTCTCCTCAGACCCCTACCCATACCGTCTTTTGCACTCGACTTTATCACTGGGCTTCCTTCTTCTAGAGGTAATAGCGTTATTCTCACTGTTATCGATCGATTCTCTAAGACCGCTCGCTTTATTCCTCTGCCAAAACTGCCCTCCGCTAAGGAGACCGCCCAGATCGTTGTTGAACACATTTTTAAGATTCATGGACTTCCGGAGAACGTTGTATCTGATAGGGGTCCTCAATTCTCCTCCCTGTTTTGGAAGGAGTTTTGTCGTCTAATCGGTGCCTCTGTCAGTCTCTCCTCTCCTCTGTCAGATTCCACCCTCAGACCAATGGACAAGCTGAACACGCTAACCAGACCATTGGACGCATTTTGCGCAGCCTAGTCTTCCGCAATCCCGCTTCGTGGTCCGAGCAACTCCCGTGGGCAGAATACGCTCATAATTCAGCTCCCTCTTCTGCCACCGGGTTGTCGCCGTTTGAGTGCTGTCTGGGTTACCAGCCTCCCCTTTTCCCTTCCGCGAGTTCTGAGTCTAACGTTCCGTCGGTCAACACTTTTATCCAACGTTGCAAACGAACCTGGAGAGCGGTTAGGTCTGCCCTCTGTAAGTCTCGTTCCGTCACGCGCCGGGCAGCTAACAAGCGCCGTGTCAAGAGTCCCCGCTACGTCTGCGGTCAGAGAGTGTGGCTTTCCACTCTCAACCTACCTCTCCAGTTTCCGTCACGCAAGCTGGCTCCCAAATTTATCGGGCCGCTCCTGTCCGCGTCGAGGGCTCCCCTGTCTATCGAGTCTGCAGACTCCTTGACGTTCGTCCCTGAGGTCGGGGTCGGCAGTTTTGGTTGACTGGGAGGGATACGGTCCGGAGGAGAGAAGTTGGATCCCCGCCTGGGACGTCTTGGACCGCTCGCTCATTGATGACTTTTACCGCTCTCGCCAGTCCTCTTCCTTGAGAGAGGGGTACTGTCATGATCCTGGTTCCTTCTCTCTTTCTGTTCTCTGTCTCCATCTGCTGGACACACACATCCACACACTCTGACTCTCATTCATCATTGCGCTCTCATCTGTTTCAGCTGTTCCTCGTTCTTTCATCTCCTCACCTGCTCTCCATCTCTGATCGTTAGTCTCTCTATTTCTAGCTTTTCTCTTTCATCCCTTCTCTGTCGGATTATTGCTATCGTCACGTATGTTGCCGTACTTGTGTTTCATCCATTGATCAAGAGTCCAGTCGTATCTTGTCCTGTCTAGTACTGCTTATTATTTTGGTGGTTATGTTACTGGTTTGTCCTGTGTCCAGTGCTGAGCCTCGGGTTACCGCTGAGGGTGCAACGTCTCACCTGTCTTCCTGCTCTACTAACTCCCGAGGCTTTGGGACCTTCCGCTCGGGCTTCACTCAGCTTCTCAAGAATTTAAGGAGAACTTTTCTCTGTTAAAAGGGTCTAAGCGGCTTTGCTCTGTTTGCATTTAAGACATTGAACTTTTCGTTGATATACGGCCGTTGCGGCTTTGCCTAATTTGTCATTAAAGACTGAGTTACCCACCAGACGCTTTCTGAGGTTTCTTCTCCAGTATCCCGTGACAAATTTCAATGTAAGTACACAATAAAGCCACTTAATATAAAGTGGGACCAATTTATTTAGTTCAGATAACTTATTTTCTGATGATTAAATCAATCTCCTTCATTGTATTAACTCACTTTTTTCCATTTTAATCAACTTAAAATTTTAAGGCGACCAGTTTACTTAATTTTTTTAAGTTAAACCAACAATATTTTTTTACGGTGTAAATATGAGGTGGGATGTATTACTTAAAATGACTAAGGCATCAAAACTAAGTCAACATTTTTGGCCTTTTGGCCCTCTAGCCATAAAAAGACATGCATTTTGTAGAAGAACATTGTTTTGGTTTCAGTTTCAGCTCTGCGTGACTGTGGATGAATATGACCCTTCACAATAGATGATGCTGAAACAATGAATTCTGTTAGCTACATTTGACAATCAATCAGTTTAGTAAAATACCTCACTCACTTGTTGAGTAATAAAATGGCGTCTCCCCATCGCTTTTACAACATTTCAAATTCTTCAGTTGCCACAGAACAGCCATGAATCAATGCTGATTCTTGTTTTATTTATATGGAATGCCGTGTCTGACAAAATAATAATAAATAAATATACAGAGAAATATAAAAAACAAAAATAGATAAATACATAATCAAAATAAATATTCAAAGAAATGTAAAAGGAAAATCCATTATTATTTATACTTTTATTTAATTTTTATTAATAATTTTTTCATTTATTTATTTATACATTTATTTATTTCCACATTAATAACTGTATTTATGTCTACAATAACTTATATTCACATTTATTTATTTCTACCATTACTTTCACATATATTTATTTATATATTTCTTTGTGTAAATAAATAAACTTAGATATACTTTATATATATATATATATATATATATATTCCATTTCTTTGTACATTTATTTATGTATTTTTTTTTCTTCTTATTTTGGCAGACATGGCATTCCACATAAAAAAGTAACCCAGGCCTGGGCGCATAACCCCTAAATAATGTTCAATGGTTGAAATGAGTAGAATAATGTCATCTTTACTGAGTTCTTGAAAATGCTTATTATTGTGTTCATAGATAGAGCGAACCTTTCTCTTAAACATAAGTCAGTCCCTTAACTTGAGCAAAGGGTCATGGGGTGTAGAAAAAAGGTGGATTGGTTGTGACCTGTCAGCTTAAAGGAATAGTTATTTATAACACTTAGGAAATGCACTGGAAGAATATAGAAACATTTTACATACATTTAATTATAAGCTTTGTTTTCCACAAAAAGAAAGAGATGTCTCTTTCAGGGTTGTATTGACTGTTCACAAAAAAATTCAATATGATAGAACACTCCTCAAGAAAATTTGTTTTCAAATTTTATTGAAAGATCTTGATAAACAAGGAGAAACTGCAGCACTTCATTTGGATACTTCGGTAAAAGGCAAGAACTGTGAAATAGGCTAGCTTTTGAATAGAACAGAAGCAAACAACTAACACTCTAAAAAAGCTTTTCCATTTATTCGTAAATGTTTCCCTAATTCGTAAAATGGCTGTATTTGTTACATATCCTGAAGTTACCGTCCCGAACCCTCTTTTGATCATCTTTGGCCCTGCACATTTTAATTACATGCCTTAACCTATGCCTGTAATCTTCATCCCATGAAACAAGAATAATAAAAAACACAACACAAAGGATATCTATACAAGGATATACAGTAGTACACAAATTTAAAAATTAAACACCAAATTACTGTGCAAGAAATTTAAAGCGTAAAGGCCTGGTGCTGTTAATTTTGTTTTTTTAAAAAGCACAATTTGTTTGATCATAAATTTATGCAGCACAATATTCAAGACTTGAATAAATTAGACTAACAGATGTGGGGTTTAATGTGCAAAAAAATGACACCAAATGTTTTAAACAAATTTGAATTTTAAATAAATTAATTATACGCCTCTCACTTTCAAACACATAAGAATAGATATTTAATGGTTTCGTCATTTCATTTGGTATTTTTTGTATTTAAATAGTGACGTATATTTGAGTATTATGCACTGAAAGTGCGCATGTGTTGTTTCTCAGTGGTTACCTGCAAACAAGAAAGAAAGAAAAAATCAATAAGTCAGCAGTCACTTGATAAACCTTTACTGGATACCACTGTAAATCACATGGCCCATGATATTGCAGACTATCAAATTCTTATTAAAACAAGTCAAGACTCCATGTCTAAGAATAGGCATCAGAAATGTTTCGTATTAAGAGTAAAAGTAATTATAGTAGTATATATGTAAAGTATATAAACAACAATATAAACATCAACTCTGCAATATTTAAACATGCAACATGCATAAGACTTACTTATGACACGCAGATGTGCAGTGCTTTTGGCTCTTCCTATGATAAAGCACACAATGCCGCACATATCTGTGGATGTTTGTTTAAGAGTGAGCCTATGAACGGTTCCCATTTTCTCCACCACAACTTTAGGACCAGGATGCAGTGTCTCCCCCTTCAGGGTCCACGTAGGTGCCTTGACCACAGGCAGAGAGACTTCACATTCAAAGCATGCATCTGCAGGAGCAGTTACATCCACATCCTGCAGCTCTCGCACCATCAGAACTGACTGAGCTGTTTACACAGGGAGGAAGTGCAAAACCACATGGGCACATGTTATAGTATCAGTTATTATGTAATAGTTTTTTTTTACCCCAATACAGTCATTTTCTCATTATAATCATACAGACAATTACCTGAAACTTTTTATAATTTCTATAATCTTTTAGTTTTTCTTAAAACAACAACAAACAAATAAACAAACATTTAAAGTTTTCTATTAAAATAGGCATACTGTTAATACATCTGAATAGCGTTCACTATGACTTGCAGGTAGCCATTTTATTTTCATAACACTAGAAAACTTTAAAACAGGTTGAAAACCAATTTATAGTTGTCAATCACATTTTAATTTGGCCAGTTTATGAACACACAACATGCATAGTCTCTGTGTGTGTATTCTCACACTTATGGAAAGAATATTGCTTTAAATTTTTATTAAATCAGGTTTTAAAAATTTAGCTATGTTTTCTAATTTTTGAAACCAACATAAATATGAATAGGCCTGACATTTCGAAGAAATTGGCAGAGGAGATTTGAACTCCTTTTTCGTACATCCATCATTAGTGACTGAGTTAAATAAAAGATAGCTACTATGTGATTTAAATTGGCTATTTAATAATGAAACGTCTCCACTGTTTTGTGGTATTAGCCTACAGCCAGCGTACTGTACTGTATGTGTAGAAGGGAGACGTCGCCACCTGCCGGTTATTGTAGTAACTGCAGTGGAAATTTGTACAGGTGGCTGACGACGGTAAGTTGGACGCCCAGAGAAGTCTTAAAGTAAAGATTTGTTCGTCAAGTAGTTCCAAAGGCAAATTGCTTAAGTAATTTTGCCAGGAAAATGCTAAGAAGCATTTATCATTGAATAATACTGAATATTAAGACTTTCTTGCGAGACTATGGTTTGTGTCAGACGTGACTGATTCATTTTTTGGTTTCAAGAAACTATTTTGATTTTCATTTAGAACATTCCCACCTCATCCTTTAACAAAACGGCGCTATACTACGCACATGGCACCCTTTATCGTTAATATAACACGCGAACCCAAGACGTCATAAATCCTTTAGCGTGAATATGACACGCACACCCTACCCCACACCTAAACTTAGCCCTCACAGCGCGTGTTATATTAACGATGCCATGTGCGTAGTATAGCGCCGTTTTTGCATATTATAGCGTTCTATATGACGCTAAAGGATGAGAATGCGTTGAACAGCGAAGTGATTGACTGACTGACTGACTGAATGAATAACTGATTGATTGAAAGACTTCTAATCTAGATATCAGACATAGCAAGTAGAATAAGGTAGCCTATTGTTGATGCACTGAATTTGAAATTGACAAGTTCGTAGCACGACCGTTTTTAGGGCAATAATGGATAACTTACATATATGTTTAAGAAAAAAATTAAATTAAACCGCAAAAATAATTTCCCCCGGTTTCACAGATTAGGTCTATTCCTACAGAATAGGTCATACAAAAATTCTGTCATTTACTCACCCTCAAGTTATTATTTTTTTATTCTGCTGAAGAAAGATCTTTTGAAGAATATGGGTAACCAAAAAGTTGATGGGTCCCATTAAACCAAAATGTCCTAACTAAACAAATGCCTAATCCTGCTTTCATTTAAGCCCTGTCTGTGAAACCAGGCCTATATATAAATCAGCGATCTCCAATCCTGCTCCTAAAGGTTCACTGACCTGCAAAGTTTCTCCAACCCCAATTAAAACACACCTGAACCAGCTAATCAATGTCTTACTAGGAAATTCGAGGCAGGTGTGTTGAAGCAAGTTGGAGTTAAACTCTGCCGGACAGTGGCCAATTTGGACACCCCTGCTATAAGTGAACATTATAATGTAGGCTACAATATATAAGATAAATATTTATAGGATATTTATAAATATATATAGGATAATATGCCTTTTGCGTGGGATTAAAGCACGCGGAGGAAGCGCTTTCTCTTTCTGAGAACTGTGCCTCACCCTGCTGAGGAAGCTTCTTTGATGTAGACCCAAGGTTGCATCCAGACAAAGCACTGACGAACAGTACAACTCGGATGCTGGAGCAGGTGAAAGCCTTGCAGCTTCATGGACTCCCCGGAGCATGCCTGCTCTCAGTTGGGCTGACCAGACTAACGAGGGCCTACTCAAGGAAATCCTTCCCGGTATTTCCTTACTTGACAACAAGCCGCCCGGCTCAGGCGAAGACCCCGCTATACTTGATAGCTCGGACGATGAGGAAACCATCCCGTCTGCCCAAGCTCCTCCGGTTAGCGGTTCGGTTCGACTATACCACGGAGCAGCCGTACCATAACTCAGCCAGGCCTCGCAGTAGGTCACCCAGCCAGCAGCCCAGCCAACAGCCCAACCATCCTCCTAAGCCCTGGGGTAAGACATCTTTCAAAAAAGCCCACCCACTCTACCCCGTCGGACGGAAAGAGGAAGAGGCCTACCTGATGTTCAGCTCCAGGTGCTTCTCGGTCCAGGTTTTCAGGCGACCAGCCCATTGGACACAAGTGTGAACTGGCCCATCCGTGGTCCAGCGTGCTACTCTATGCGTTTCCTCCCCTTTGCCTCATAACGACGTCTCTGGCCAGGGTGAGGGAACAGAGCTTGACCATGATTTTGATAGCTCCCAGGTGGCCCAAGGCTCCGTGGCTCTCAAAGATTAACCCTCTGCTGTATGCCCAGCTGTGGCCTCTCACACTTCTTACAGACCTTTCGTCCCAAGCGAACGGGGAAATTTATCACCCGCACCCAGACAGGGTGGCTCTCTGGGCCTGGCCCGTGAGAGGGCCAACTTAAACACATTGGGCCTCCCCCAACGTGTTGTGGCCACCATTCAGTGTGCCAGAGCCTCTTCGACATTGTCCCTTTATGACTGTAAGTAGCGTGTGTTCTCAATCACTAACATTTTATGCTTTCTGCAGGACCTTTTGGATAAGGGAAGATCCTTTTCCACTATCAAGGTCTGTTTATCGGCTATCGCTGCATGTCATGTGGGGTTTGACAGTGCTACAGTGGGGCAACACCCCCTTATTTGTAGGTTTATGAAGGGCGCATGCCGCTCTCTTCCAGTCTCCAGGAGAGTCGTTCCTAAATGGGACCTCTCCATGGTCTTGGACACATTGTCTCAACAGCCATTTGACCCCTTGGGAAGTATTTCCCTTCAAGACAGCTCTGCTCCCGGCCTTGGCATCTGCCAAGCGGGTCAGTGATATGCATGCACTCTCTGTTCATCCCTCGTGCACTAGATTCTTGCTCAGTGGAGATAAGGTTTTTCTCAGGCCCAACCCGGCCTTTATGCCAAAATGCTTCCCAGCATTCACGTGTGAGGTGATTGAGCTTTCCGCGTTTCACCCAGCTCCTTTCTCCTCCACGAAGCATCAGAGGTTGAACGCTTTGTGTCCTGTACGTGCCCTGTGGGTATACTTAGACAGGACCAGCGCGTTCAGAAAAAGCGACCAGCTTTTCATCTCTTGAGGCCCCCCGCACTCTGGGAACCCCATTTCCAAGCAACGCCTTTCTCATTGGCTTGTGGAAGCTATATCTTTGGCATATGAATCCAAGGGAGTGCAGCCTCCAGAGGGGTCAGAGCTCACTCTACTAGAGGTATGGCTGCCTCATGGGCTCTATTTAGGGGAGTCTCTTTGCAGGACATATGTGCCACTGCAAGCTGGGCCTCTCCCTATATGTTTGTGAGATACTACCGGCTCGATGTCACCAGAACCCCGGTAGCTCATTCTGTCTATTCTGTGCTTCCTCACTTTGCGTGGTTGTTTCCTTGTGACATGTCATGCACTGCCTTTCTAGGTGGCTTTCCTTTGGCTTTCAGGGCCTCATTGTAATGTATTGGGCAATCGGGGAGCTGTCCATATTTCCCATAGGTGGATCTCGAACACGAGATGATGAAAGAGAACAACAGGTTACTATCGTAACCCCGGTTCTCTGAAACATTGAGTGGAGAGATCCACAAAGCTTGCCCCGCTTGCTGCACGATAAGCAAATATGCTCACTGAGGTAAGATAGCGCATGCTAGTGTTTTATACTTTTGGTAAGAGGCGGGTCCCTTACCAGGCATTGGACCAGCGCAGTCTCATCCCAAGACGTCATATAACTGACGTCTTGGGACGTCTTTTGACCATACGTCAACATCCGCCGTTTTAGGGTACCCTTTAACGTCGGTTAGATGACGTTATAGGATCTTAACCCTACCCCAGACATAAACCTACCCCGTCATCTAAATGACGTTAAAGGTAAAGCGTCAGTTGTATGACGTCCCAGGATCGTCATGTAACTGACTTTAAAGGGTACCGTAAAAGGGCGGATGTTGACGTATTGTCAAAAGACGTCCCAAGTCGTCAGTTATATGACGTCTTGGGATGAGACTGTGTTAATTGGACACGCGCTTCTGTTTGTCAGGCCAGACTTTGTGCAATTGGATTCTTCCGCAGAGGTCAGGTGCGGATGCCCTTCCCATAGGTTTATCTCTCCACTCGATGTTTCAGAGAACCGCGGTTACGATAGTAACCTAATGTTATCCCTGTATATTTTTCTGTTGATATGAAAAATCAGGGACCTATTAGCAATATAGCCTGTGAATTATGTTGGCTACATAATGTATATTACAATGTTATGTTGATTCTGGACTATATGCCTTTGTTCAAAGTATTTCTATGGATCTGATTTTTAGAAGACAGCTGTCAGACTCTGAGATGGCGAACGGGAACATAGTAACATATTATCGGGTGGTGATGGTGCAGTCTATAAGACAAATGCCTTTGGTGTGAGAGAACCAGGTTAGAATCCACTGTGAGACACCAATGTGTCCCTGAGCAAGACACTTAACCCCTAGTTGCTCCTGAGGCGTGCAACCTCTGACATACATAGCAATTGTAAGTCACTTTGGATGAAAGCGTCAGCTAAATGAATAAATGTAAATGTAAATGTAACATCACAATATTAGCTCTTAGCCTACATAGTCAAGCAAAAGGCATGTGTCCGATGTTGTAAAAAGAGATACCATTATTCAGCGTTTACTTTAGTAAAGTTGGCTAAGCGGATCTCTGAGCCCGTATGAGTGGGTGAAGTGAGGCTAATTTGCATATTATTTCGTGTATAATAAATGAAGCCAGGATGTAGTTACATTCAAGCTATTTTAAGGCATGAACATTTTTTTTTCACTGGAACAAAAAAACGTTTGAATATGTCATTTTGGTGACCAAAGATGAGTTTTAAAAATGAAATTTTTAATGTTGTTTAGCCTATAGAATATGCCTATATGGGCTATTCATAAGTCAACACTATTACTGAGTATTTAAAAAACGTATTGTCTACAGGGGGGCTTTTAAGATAATTGGGCGTTCCCACAATCAAGATGTAATGTTTAAAAAAATGTACCACAAACATACAGTTGTTTCATCATATATTCTGCATTAGAAAGCCTTGTTATTTATAAATTAAAATTAAAAACTGTATGACTGGCAACTTAACGAACTATTGGGTTGTTTAAAAAATGACAGTGCTGTCAATCATTCCAGTTCACCCCACCTGTTATGTTATTATTGTATAATTGGTTGAAAGGACTGAAGTTGCCTCACCTTCAACAGTTAGTCTTGCTGAGGATGTGTAGTTTCCAACTTGAACACTATAGGTGCCCTCATCCTCTAGCAACACCTGCTGAATCACAAGTTTTCGATAGCACCCTTCACTGCAGATCTCGAAGCGCTCAGAAGGCAGGATGACATTAGGTCCTTTATACCAGCGAATGCTGCAACGAGGATTGGTCAGAGTGCAGTCCAGTATGACACGGGTTTTTTCTAGAGCTGTTTTATCCTGAAGTGGTTTCACAATGTTTGCTGGTAGTGCTGTGGAGATGAAAAGTCATAGTTTTAAGCACTTTGAGTGTGATATTGCTGTTATAACGTTTTTGATGTAATGTGTCCAGTTATTTTATCTTTGCTCTTAAAACAGTTGAATTAAAAGTTTTGCTACAGTTAGAACCATAGATTTGGAATTGTGTAGTGAACATGGACAATCGGTGTGGTAAAAAAACAAAACAAACCAAAAACCCTGTGAAATGCCCCATTGCTTTTATACTAGTCATCATCAGTCTTGGAACGCAACATATTCAATCAAATTAGTGAGCCATAATTAAATAATTTATAATACAAAGAATACACATTTCCAAAACATTAGCTGTTGAACTGTAGTGTGTAGGGGTGCAACAATATATCATGCCACAATATATCGCAATACAAAAATGCAATAATACGTGTCGTGAATAGTGACAATATGTATCGTGGATAGTTCCCCCAAAATAAAAATGACTGTGAGAAAAAGTTATCAGAGTTTTAGTGTCAGTACTACATTGAACTATATATAATGTTGATTATAATGTATAATAATGCAATTGGGGAATATTTCTGGGTCCTGACAATGCCAAATATCTTATGTTACCAGGAAAAAGTGTCCGACATTTATGTGTGGTAGGCCACATCTAGTTAGTGACAGTGATCAAGCATATTCGTCAAAAATAATTCTGTATTTTCAGCTTCAGAATCATGAATATTTTTATTCTGGTTTCACCATTGTCCTTGGGTTACAAGCACCGAGTCCAACCCTATTAATTTAAACCCACAATGTCATACCAAAGTTATCATTTTAATCAACAGTACATTTTTTGTTAACCTTTTATAATATGTCTTGGACTATCGCCAAGATAGTCTATAATATTGTATCAATAATATTGAGACTATAATATTGTATCGTGAGTTCAGTATCGTGATATGCATTTACGACTGGAGCTTATCACCCTGCTCACATTTAAAGACTAATTTCTTGCTTTAGGATTTGCTGTGATATTGTGCATTTTATACAATTAATCACGATACGATCATTCTCTTGACTATAGGTATGATCCCGAACTCTCAAAAACGATTGCAAATAGTAACGTGAAAGTTAATTCTCGACAATAATTTGCACAGAATGAGAAAAAGAAACCAAAATATAGATTATAAAAAGAGCTTTCAGTTGTTGTTTTTGGCTGTTGGTCATCATTGCTGCTCTCTTACTTGTCGGGACATTCTAAATGACTGATGTCTGGTTGGACACATTTCAAAACGGTTTGAAATGTCATAGCATCTGCGACTAGTCATCAAAGAGGATGACAAGCTTTGGTTTTGTAGTGTGTGTTTGACTTAACATACAGACCTTCCACCTCAAGGTTAGCCGTAGACTCGACATTCTTGGCAACAAACTTGATCTCTCCAGAGTCGTCTCCTTTAACATTGCATATGAGGAGGAAGTGCTTAGTCCCTAAGAAAACATGGTTCAGAAAAGTCGTGATCAGATGGTGATAAAAATATTGAGAGGTTGAGTGGTCAATTTTTGGGAATGTAGCAATGGGTGCTAGAATAACCTTCCTGACGGATCTTAATGGTGCTGGTTGGTTTGATCCTCTCTCCGTTCTTAAACCACTCTCCGGGCACATCATCAAGTGACACTTCACACATGAACACTGCATTTTGATCTTCTTGAATATCCAGATCCTCTAAGCTTTGTAGAATCTCAAGTTCCCTCTCTGTTGAAATATTATTAAACATAAAAAGGTGTTGCGTAATTAGTTATAGATATAATACGTAACTAATTCAGCAGTGAGTGAAAATGCTTTCCATTTAGTTGAATTTGTCTCAGAACCAATAGATGGTAGTGTTGTACTTAGAATTAATTATTTCAGCAGGAGGATTTAGATTTAAATAATCAGTATATCACCAGGAACGTATACAATCTGCAGATACATGTGATGGTATTTTAACAGACTCTTTTTTGTTATTACCATAGATTTCCACTGAACATGATGTTGTAGCTTCCCCAGCATCACACACATATGAACCAGAGTCTACCAGCTCACACTTCAGTATCTGTAGAAATGACTTTCTTCCCATAGAGTAAATGCGAAGATTTTTTCCTGGTTTAAGCTGAACTTCATTCTGAAAGTGAAAGAATTACGCTTTATTTTGTAGACAAAAATTGCAACTTCAAATAATTAACTTTTTTTCATTTTTAATCAACTGCAACAAGAGGTCGTGGGGATGTCATGTAATTTTACCTTTGTCCACTTTATGTCTACGTTGTGGCGTGACAGCTCACATTCAAGGGTTACACCAGATCCTTCTGGTTGTCTGATATCCTCAAGCTTTTTCAAGACTGATACTGGGATTTCTGAAGAAGCAAAGTCTTGTCAGCCAATGTAAGAACATTACTTTTGACATAAAAACATGGGTAACACTTTATAATAACTACACGCTAATAATCATTAGTTAAGCATGAGTAAACCATTAATTCATCATTCATTAATAGACATTAATAAGCAGTTCATTAATACAGCTATAAATGCTTTCTTCTTGATTTAAAAGCATATCTATAATTTGTTTAATAATTGTATTTTCATCCTTTATTAATGATTAATTTATCATTTCTAAATGAAGAATTGCATTTTTTATGAACCAGTTATTTAAGAGTTTTCAGTGGTTCGTACGATTACTTAGAGCGAGTAAGTAAATGATTAATAAACTATTTAAATGTACATTCATACATCTTATTATTCAGAAATATAGTGATGGTTACTTAATGTGTTAATAAATGCTTTATTAACATGTATTAATGCTGTAATTAAGGGTTAATTTGGGTAGTTATAAAGCATTTAGTAGTGGTCAGTTAACTATGTTTGTGAGCTCATCTAAAGTGAGGACTATTCATGCCTTGTAAAGCATTTTTAAAGGCTGTTAAATATTTCTGTGTTCTGTATCACTGTGTTGTGTTTGTTACATTTTACTGTTTAGAAGATTGACGAGTCTTTAAATCACCTTTATAAATGCTTTACAAGGCATGAATAGTCCTCACTTTAGATTAGGTCACAAAAATAGTTAACTGACCACTACTAAATGCTTTATAACAACCTGTATTTACTACATTTACTTACACTTTCTAAGTGATCTTATCAATGACTGACAACTCTTAAACAACTGGTTTGTAAATAATGCTATACTTCATTTAGAAATTATTAATTGATCAACAAAGTATGAAAATACAATCATTAAACGCATTATAGATATGCTTATAAATCAAGAAAAAAGCATGTATAGCTATATTTATAAACTGCATATTAATGTCTATTAATGTTTTATAAATGATGAATTAACTGTTTACTCATGCTTAACTAATGATTAATAGTGTGAAGTTATTATAAAGTATGTATACACATTTAATTAGGTAAAAGAGAATCGCTGTTGTTACGGCCAAGCTACACATTTGCAAAGTGAATTGTGGGATTGACAGCTAGCGGACCACAAAAAGCGTTGAGAGCGTCAAAATTTTGGGCAGTTCTCGACTTAATGCAAATATCAATTGAAAAGCGTGGGCGGCAGCCAATCACTGTGAAGTATAGTGACCTCTGTCTAGAGCATTTAAAAATAAGCAGATTGTGCAGGCTGGATTTAGTGCGTAAATCATTGTTTACTCATGTGACTCTGCATTTGTTATGTTAAATATTGCAGTTTGCATGCTTTCATAATTATTACACTGGCTGGTTTTACAAAAGTTTATAAAATTGGCAATATCTCTCATTTGGAAACAGACCTGCTATGACACACCACTAAGCGGCGGTATTTTAGTATTGTCAGCGACACTGAGCATAGTTTTGCCTATGTAAGGCTTATTGACAAAAAGCCATTTTGATCACATTTGAAAGGCTGTGATCTTAAAACCAAGTCACAATTTATAATTATTTTATTATTATTATTTACCTCTGGGTTGCCCTTGTTTGACTTTTGAGATCACATAGTCAACTGTGCACATGTCATCTGTCTAGTAGTTCAACAGGAGCTTATCATTTAACCATACCTCAGCTTTGTGCTTAGAGGACTTTGAGAAGCGTCCTTTGTTGTAGTGGCATTTACATGTTATTGTCATCCTCAATGACAGCTCTGTGACTCCAAATGATAAGCCCTATTGAGTGACTTGGCGTAGAAGTGATTACCTTACACCAGCACCTTATGCTTGTGAATGTTTGAAATGTTTCGGTAGCTGGAGTCTGATCATGTGATCCACATCTTTTTATATGTGTAACCTGACACATGGTAAGAGCAGTAGCAAAAATGTCTGTCCATGCCATTGTACTGTCATCAGCATCAGAAATTTAACCAGTTTGATGACTTACATCATTGCCCTGGACCCTCTTACCTCTCACGACTAAGTTAATAATGGCCTGATTCCACCCCTTATAAGTTAATTGTTGCCAAGGCAATTAAGGAAAAAAGACAGATTATTGCAAGCCTGTATACCTTGTCATAATAAGTAAATCTGAGTATTAATGGTTAATTTAAGGATCTGCTTTGGCTATGTTTTTTTTTAGCTCATATTTTGGATGTCTGTTACGTTGAGGGAGTGGTCTGTTCTTTTTAGCCAGGAAAACACTGACTTTGTTGTGCTCAGGCTAGCTGAGCTGTGAGAAGGTGTGTGATTGAAGGTATAAGGTGTATAGTAGTATATAAGGTCTATAGGTATAAGGTATTTTTAGTGGCTAAATCTGAATGTAAAGGCTGAATCACTCACAGCATCTTTAAAGGTGGTCTGTGAAATTTCTGCACCACTATTGTAAAAAAAAGTGTTTTCAGTTTTTCTGTAACTTTTCAAACTAGTGGCACTTTTCCACTGCTGGTACAGCTCGGTATGGCTCAGTACGGTTCGGCGCAGCACGGTTCGGCTGGCTTCGCTTTTCCACTGCGTGGTACCACTATAATATATACCACAATAACAGCAGTGGCTGTTACTGGCTATTTAAATCTAGCGGGTTTGGTTTCTCTTGTCGATGTCTATTGGTCACAAATACAATGACGCTGGTAGTGATGATTCTGTCTGACCAATCAGTGATCTGCAGTGTTTCACGTCACATTTTAGTACCAATACGGTACGCTTGGAACCTCAACAGACCAGGTACCATTTAAAGCCAGCCGAAGCGAGCCGTACCGTACCATGCAGTGGAAAAGCGTCAAAACGTGTCGTACCAAACTGTACTGTACCATGCAGTGGAAAAGCGTCATAGGAGATGTCATGCCCTAAACTTGTCATTGTTTGAGCCAGTAGTTGACGTTTCAGGCAGCTCAAATAAACCATGGACTGTAAAAGATGGACGACGCCCCTTCACTCTCTTCCATTGGTCAGAACTGAAGCCAGTGTCCCAATATGGTGCTGACATTTTGGAACTTGAGTCTACGCAATAGCGATTTTGGGACCAGACATGCGCAGTAGTGAGCAGGAAGTAAAGCCGTGAAATCAAGGCCCCGCCTTCACTCTTGCAGAATCAATCACAAGCACACGCTCCTGCACTTTTTTAATTAATTATTGAAGTTTAGATATTAAATTTAAAGCTCCAATCTCCTCAGTCCTTCGAAGATCCCGAAAAAAAGTCTGTTGGTGCTTCAGTGACTTCAACCTGCACTCTTAGTTCTATGAAGCATGGGGTTCTTTACTCAACTCCAAAGAACCTTTTATGCTAAAAAATGTTCTATAATGACAAGAAAGAACCCTTTCGACACAAAGGTTCTTTATAGGCTATTATTCATTCATTTATTTCATTATTCTGCAACATTTTGTAGTTGTAATTAAATTGTTGTTTATTATTGTTGTTTATTTATTAACGTAATATCACATTTTATTCATGCTGATCTTTGGAGAAAAACTGCATTCTTTGTTACATAAAATTATATAAATATATACATTTTCTAACCCCCATATCTTGAATTTTGTGATCATTCACATGCATTCGTAAAAACAGTTTTGGGCCTTGATGTCTGTCGTTAATATGAAATATATAATCCGGAAAGGACAAAACAAATTTGGTCCATATAGAACCTTTTTCCTGGTTACAAAGAACCCTAAAGGGTTCTTATTATTGAATCCTTAAAAAGGGTTCTGTATAGAACCTTTTAGGGGTTCCAATACGTAGCACTGATAGAACCTTTTAAGGTTCTCCATGGAACCTTTTCTTCTAAGAGTGTGTCAATCACAGCTGTCAATCATGATGTCACCACGACCGCATCAAATACACTAAAAACTAACTAAAAACAAACCTATTTTAAAAACACTTGAAATTACATCAGCATGATTTAAAACAGAAACCATATTTGGAAAAACGATATTTGAAGTGTAATTTAATTGTTGGTCTCACATGCCTTTGAATAACATGGGGAGGCGGAGTTTATGACCTATACTAGGACCATCCACCGAGGGGCGATCTAGACGTTTTGGCTTCCCTTTTCAGGGCTTTGTGCGGCACGCTTGAAATAAACAAGTCACGTTTTAAAGGTGCCACACAGCCACAGTGTTTAAACTCTTCAAGAATTCAGTCAACAAATGACTTGCTTTCAGTCGTCTTTTCACTTGAAACTGGATTAGGATTCAATTTTAACACTGAATCCCCCATTAGTATTTTCATCTAATTGTCTAGTTAAAGTAGTTTTAAATTCTTGAAGAAGATAAATATACTTGAGACATTAAGACTTGTTTTCTTTTTAGAGAATGTGTCTTTAGGTCAAGTGCAATTTTCCATACTGCCCTGACAGATTTTTATGTTTGTTTTTAAAAAAGGGACTTTTGAATGTTTTTAAACAAAAACAGTATTTTTTGCTGGCAAAATTGTCACAATTAAGTCTCTACTACAAAAAAAAAAAAATTAATTTGCACAGTACCTCTGACATCCAGTCTTGCCAATGATCTGATATTTTCAACAGAGAATATATAGGTGCCAGTGTCATCCAAGGTCAGGTTGGAGATGGTAAGGCTGTGTGCCCGTCCTTTTGCAGTCATATGCCAGTGGTTATTATTTTTGAGAGTGTTCCCATCCTTCTGCCATACACCCTCCACATTGCTATGCGACAGCTCCACCTCAAAAGAAGCTGTCTCTCGTTCGTAAGTCTGGATCTCAGTTAGACCTTTCAGAATCTTGATTTTTCGTGCTGCGTGGACAAGCACAGGTTGTCAAAGACAAGAAATGTATAGTTCAATTGTGATGCAGTTAGAAACCAGTGAAGTGTGTGTAAAACAGAGAGAGATTAAAAAGAAAGGTGAAGTTTATAAAGAGAAAAAAAAAATAGAACAACAGTTGCTGAATTAGATGGCTCGGTTTTGTCCGCTTGGTGATAGCAATACACTAAATCCTGCCTTCGGTCAGGGCTATGCCAATTTCCAAAAGTATTCCAAAACAGACAGGCATTCCCTGTGGAAAATGGTGGTTTATTTTAGAGAGTTGGTGACCCCACCCTAGATTTTGAAGGCCAGTGCATAAATTTAGCTGCAATGAAAACAGATCCAGATGCATAGTTGGTGCCAGGAACAGCCAAAGGAAGCACAGACTTTCTCTCATCACTTGCTCATTTGTACAACACAGCTTTATCGTCTTAAGCTATCCTGAAAGGAATGTTTATCACTGGTAATGTATTGCTTGTCTGCTAAAGAGCAAATTACTTTTATCGTCAGAAGTTATGTTAAGAGATATTGAAAGCTTGTTTGGTATGTTTGACGTAGACGGCTAATAATCAAAGGCAATGGAAATTAGTTGTGAGTTGCACCTCTCATAGTATCTGTGTTTCACAGGCAACTTATAGGAATTAAAAGGTTACGCCGCCAGGACCTTCTACCAGCTCTTGATTTAGTTCTCATTTGACATGCTTAATTGAATTATCATAGCTCTTCTGATCTAATGTCAATACAGAAAGCTGCTCCCCGGGCCTCAGTACGTGGTCTGCCAATCACCTGTTTGCTGCTGTCAAACCATGGAACAAGTGTCACTAAAGTAGCTTGCTTGCATTACTCTTGGTTACTTGATTCAGTTTGTTTAAGACGACAACATCGCAATGGGCAGTAATGAGGGACCATAAAGAAATGCTAACAACAGCGCATAGTGAGAAAGAGACAAGCACATGCAGACTCACGTTCCACACTGAGCTTGGCTTGTGTGCGGTCATGGAGTGTTTCACAGCTGTAGGTGCCTCGGTCTGAAAGGGTGAGTTTGTGGATTGTGAGAGAATGTTTTTTTCCACTCTGCTTCAGAGTGAATTTGGACCCTGGATGTATAACCACTCCTTGTCTCATCCACTGCACCTCTGCAGTCTCAAGGCTGACTTCCACCTCAAGTGTTGCCTCAGCAAACTCCTCTGCAACCACCGGGTCCATGCTCTTTGTGAAAACCACCTGTGCCTCTGAATACAGATCAGGGTAATCAGCAGGTTTTTTTTTTACACTTTTAATAGCTCTTTATATTCAAAAACCAATGAGCAAAGCCAATAAGGACAACATTATTTCATGTGCTCCTCGTTCTACATTGCTGTGTGCTGTAGTAACACTTGTCTCTGTCAGTTAAGAGTGGAATTCTAACTGGAGAAGCTGTTAAGCACAAGCCATCATAAGCACCTTTTCAACAATTCAGGCATGCCTGAAAGGGTCATTATTAAACTCAAACATGTTGACATGACATTAAAGACCGGTGCAGGATCTTTAAGAAAATACCACTATCTACACTCCAAATACCATTTTGTGGAAAATGACCTATTAGTTAATTTCTCACTTAATATGTTGATGGTTCATTAATCAAATGTTATGTCAAAATGAAATACTGATAGATGTTATTCTACCTTGGACCTGAAGGATAGCTCTGGAAATCACACCTTCAGCCTTAGCTGTCAACTTGCAGCTATCTGAGACTTGGCAGTTGTTGATATGCAGCATATGGCATAATCCATTACTTGAGATCTTGAACTTATGGTTTGATGAAATTGGCTGGTCATTCCTAAACCAGGCCAACTTCACATCTTCTGGAGACACCACACACTTAAATGTTGCGTCTTCTCCTTCCATCACAGTTATGTTGTGTAGCTCCGCAATAAACTCCACAATGCGAGGAACTTGGGGAAAGAAGAGACGTAAGTTGGCACTAAAGTAATATGCGATTTGTTCCTGATTTCAGGTTAAATGCACACGAATCCTTTGGTCGAATTTGACTTACTATTGACCACTACAGTAGCTGATGTCCTTTCATCTTTGGATTCACAAGCATATTCTCCTGCATCATCTTCTGTGACGTTGTGTACAGTCAGGCTTCTCACTCGACCATCAGCTCTGATTGTAAAATGTCTGTTTGGCGCAATCTCTTGGCTGTCCTTAAGCCACTGAACATCTCCTTTTGACTTGTACAGTTCACATTTTAAAACCACATCCTTACCTTTGAGTCCCACTACGTTTTCCAGTGGTTTGGAAAATTTCACTTTCATTGCTGATTACGAAACAGTAAAGACAAAATTTTACTGCACACCTTTACAAGCAATGAATTATTAGTACTTAAAACATTTGTAGAAATGTATGGTTCGTTCCCCAGTCTTACCTTTGACATGGACACTAAAGTGCATCTCATCGGATCCCACGTGACATGTGTACTCTCCAGTATCACATCTCTTAAGTGGGTTAATGGTGAGGTAGTGGGTGTTACCATCACTTGTCGTGTGGAAACGATCCCCTTTGATTGGATCATGACCTCTCTGCCATTTCACCGGGGCATTGACCCTGTTAACAGCGGCACGTAGTGTCACACTGTCTTCTTCATAGGCTGAAATATTTGTTCTTTCTTCTTTTTTGATGAATTTGAATGGTGTTTCTATGAAAAGAAAGTTGTGTTATTGATATGAAATTGAATTGATATGAAAGAAAAAAAATTTGGCTATGCTACTGGTAAATTTACCTTGAACCGTTAGCCTAGTTATCATTTTGTCATCAGTGGCATCACAGAGATACTCTCCAGAATCAGATGTCTGAAGTCCTGATATCACAAGCTTCCTCTTTGTTTCTCTGCTTTCTATATGTGTGCGTGAATCCTCTTGCAGTAAACATCCATTGAAGTACCACTGGACTATAGCATTTACTCGTGATACCTCACATTCCAGGATAAGCTCATCTTCTGTCATTAAAATGTGGTGTTCTGGCTTCTCTGAATTTCCAACAATGGACACTGGAGCCTCTGAAGAAAAAATAAGTAGTTATTTTTTGAATACTGTCAGAAAATAAACAAAACATTTAGGAGTACAACAGCTTGTCACTGGGGAAGTACCCTCAAAGATACAGCTTTGTGCTATATCTACAACTATTGGTAGGTTGATAAAGTACAAAAGTGTACTTTTGAGAATATTGCCCCAATGACAAGATAAAGGTACAAGTTTTGTAAGTTTTCTCTGACCATACATGCATGTTTTTAATTGTGTACATGGATTTTTACCTTCTACAGTAACATTGAAGACAACCTTATCATCTTGTGCATCACAAATGTACTCCCCTGAGTCCCTTAACTCAGCACTCAGGACAATCAGAGATCTGAATGTCCCTTCCTCTTCACAGATGAAATGCTCCTTTGCCTCAACCTTCTCATTGTCTTTAAGCCAACTGACCGCCCCATTTGCTCTTGAGATCTCACATTTTAACACAATCGCATCAGATACTACAAACTTGAGTTTCGTTTCTATGTCAGCTTTCCGTAGTATTTTCAGCGGTGGATCTGGAAGGACGAGGGTAGAATTTTAGTTGGTTGCAGTGATTTTTAAAAAAATTGTATCTCTTTTTTTCCTGAAATGTACCTTTGATTTTCACTAGGAAATCCATTACATCATCTCTGGCATCACAGACATATTGCCCAGCATCATTAAAAGCTGCAGAGTGAATGGTTATCTGTCGACTTGTGCCGTCCTCTGTGATAGTAATGTTACTGTTCTCCTCAATCTCTTCTCCATCCTTCTTCCAGCTAACTTCAGCATTTGGTCGAGACACTTCACACTCGAGGACCACAATGTCTCCAACAAGTTTCTCTACTGCAGAGGTCATTTTCCTTGGCCGAATAAATCTAACTGGTGGCTCTGTACAAGAAAAATGAAGTCTTTATTGAGAATTTGTTGACATTTGTTTTAAATTACGAACCATTAAATATAGGGTCTTTGACACACCTGCAATGTTTACAAAGAAGGTTACTGAGTCATCAGCGGTGTCACAGACATATTCTGCAGAGTCTTTGACAGTAGGTTTTGGGATAATAAGCCTCCTATAGACACCATCAACCTCAAGAATTAGGCTGTCACTCTCCTCCACTTCAAGACCATCTCGATACCACCGTACCGTGGCGTTGGGTCTAGAGATTTCACAGCTCAGGACCATCCTCTCTGAAGTCTGTTGGCAAAGTTCCATTTGGGACTGGCTTGGAGAAACTATGCGCACCGGTGGTTCTTTGGGGGAACATGCCACAAAAGTTAACATGACATCAAAATTGACCTTATCAATGTTCTTAATGCCCGTTCCTGATCTTATTGTACACAATTCATGCAATTCACCAGTGTTATTCCAAGTTTAAAAAAGTATAATCTTATCCAATTTCCTTCTTCTTGTACATGCTATGTTTAATCCTGATTTTGATACCTTTTATGTTTAGATTGAAGAATATCGAATCATCAGCTGTGTCACAGACATACTCTCCAGAGTCCTCAACACCACTGCGCAGAATTTTTAGCCGTCTGTATGGACCTTCTGTCTTTAGCTTTATGTTTTCACTCTCTTGTAGTTTCTGTCCGTCCTTGAACCATGTCACCTTTCCATTTGGTCGTGAAAGTTCACAGCTGAGGACAATTTCTTCAGGAACATTGCGGTCAAGGTGGACGTCTTCCTTGGGATATACAATCATCACTGGAGGTTCTGCAAAGCAAAACAAAGAAAATGACCTTGTAAATGTAATTTTATCAGATTTTGACTGATAGGATAGGAATATAGCCGCGTTCACTCACCTCTTACGTTAACTTTAAATATTAAGGCACTATCTCCAGCACGACAGGTATATGTTCCAGAATCGGACAGCTGAGCGGACAGGATGACCATCTTACGTAAAGTGTTTTCTGCCTCTATGAGGACATTATCACTAGATTTTAACTCTACTCCATCCTTGTACCATTGTGCGGTAGCATCTGACCTGGACACTTGACAGCAAAGGAGTAGATTGTCTTGTTCCACAATATTTCTGTGCAGATCATCTTCTGGTATCCAGGCAAATGTCACAGGAGGTGCTGCAATGAGAAGGAAGAGGTCATTAGTTTTTTGGTCATTAGCTACTTTTACTTAGTCCCACAAGTATGACATGTTAAACATGCAATTCAAGCACTGATGATGATTGCTTGGCCAGCCCTGTTGAACTCTTTCTCCACTCTATAAGCCAAATGAAATACAAAGAAAAAGAGAATGAAGAGTTAATGAAAGCTTTGTGAGAATGAAGTGCTATTAAGCACAGATAATGATGGTTACAAGGCATGCTTGCCCAGCGTAAGTGTTTTTTTTTTATTTATTTTATAAGTAAAGAGAACCAATGTGCTGGTTAAATAGCATCTAAGGATGGCACAAATTGGTGGAAATGTTGCAAACAAACTTGTGAAGCTTCAAAAATATTCCTGCATTATGGAAATGGTTAAGGAGCCCATAAAAGCAGCAGAATGGATCTGTTGAAAGGTAGAGAAGAATGCTTTCACCCAATGGAAACTGAATTCAACTAAGTATATGTTAGTTATATAACAGAATACTTTGGATAAGGTTTATATGTCACCTTTAACATCCACAAAAAATTCACTGATATCATCAGCTGTATTACAACTGTAAAACCCAGAGTGGGATACATTTGCTGATTGGATAACCAGTGTCCTCATGGTGTGCTGTGATTTGACGTAAACCCCAGATTGAGGTAGGAGCTGTAATCCATCCTTGTACCATTGGACCAGGGCTGTAGGATCAGATATCTCACATTGGAGAATAATTGGCCAGCCTGCTTCAACTGACTTGTTCTTCTCAATCTCAGGAACAGCTGAGAACATCACTGGTGGAGCTAAGAGGATTTTTGTTCAGTCAAAATTCATACAATTAAAAAAAAAAAGCCTTTCTAAGTTAAATATCCAGATAATCGATGAAAAATAATGAAATTAATTGATGAAAAAGATTAAAAGTTGCGTACGGCTAATGAATGAGACACTTTGCTGAGTTGATCTCTCGTGTTATTATAGTTCTGAAACCTACATAACTTAATGAGCACGTCTAAATTAGGTGACATCATCTATACAATATAGTGATATTGTATAGCAATAAGTGATTTGAAAGATGTTAAAAAACCATTTACAATAATTTTTACACAGTAGTTATTGGTTGTGTCAGCAAAAGGGGTGAGGAGAGAATTTAACAAAATGGAGCTTTGATTATTTGGTTATGAATGTTTTCTTTGTTAAAATCTGATAAGGGCAAACAGCATTTAGTGGATGAAGCGTTATTTGACACATTGTTAGTGGTTTTGAGAAAAAGTATGTAGACTCAAAATCACCTGCAACATCCACCTTGAATGCTATGCGATCATCCACAGCCTCACAGCTGTACACGCCTGAGTGTTTGAGCTCAGCGGAATGGATGATCATTGTCTTCATAGTGCCCTCTGATTGGATGTCAAGTCCACTGTCTTGTTGGAGTTTGACTCCATCTTTGAGCCAGGAAACTTGGGCAGTAGGGTCTGAGATTTCACACTGAAGTATAATGGGACAGCCTGCTTCAATAAACTTGTTCCTTGCAATTTCTGGGAGTGCTGAGAACCTTACAGGATGAGCTATGAAAATTTGGAAAATGTCATTTTTTTTAGATTATCCACAAATTAATTTGTGAAAAAAAGTACAAAGACATTTACGCAGTCTTAACCTACAGCTTACAGTGTTAGTCACAACTTGCCAGTTATCAAGAAGTGAAAGAAGCAGAGTTTAAATGGATGGTAAAACATGTTACAGGAGATACATTTTTTTTTTCCACAGGAAGTGATTAGAAATTTGAAGGAAAATACATAGGACATACACAGCATTTAATAGTTAATTTGTGTGGTAGTGTTGTGAAAATCACCTTGAACGTCCACCACGAATGATACGGTATCACCTGGAACATGACAGGTGTAGTTTCCAGTATCAGACAGTTTTGCTGATTGAACAGTTAGTTTCCTCATATTTCCACCTGTTTGGAAATTTAGCCCTGGGTTTAGGGCCAGCTCTTTACCATCTTTACACCAGAGCACCTGAGCGGTAGTGTCTGAAAGCTCACATTTCAGAACGATTGGCGAGTCTACTTCTGTGGACTTGTTCTTCTCCACTTCTGAAATTGGAATGAACTTCAGTGATGGAGCTACAGTGTTGTCAGTGGCATAGAGAAAGAACTGCATGATTTAGTGGAAAATTACTGGCTATTTTTCTTCTATTTATAAATTCATGTGCTTGAGTGATCAGTTAACATGTCAAGCTACTTTTGAGCGATAAAGGCCTAAATATTTGCCTTTTGAATAACCACTATACATGGTTAAATGAAGGAGATTGCTTGACTTGATTTACACACATCGCATGAGGTGTCTTCGTGATAGAAAGCATCAAATCACCTTTGATTTCCACATGGAATGTGATGAGGTCATTATTTGTCTGGCAGCTGTATGTCCCGCTATGACATAATTCAGCAGTTTGCACAGAGAGTGTTCTCATCGCTTCCTCATTCACAGTGACAATACCATCTTGAGGAAGCACCTCATTCCCATCTTTGTGCCACCAGACTTGCGCATCAGGGTCTGAGACTTCGCATTGCAGTTTAAAGGGTCTTCCTGACTCAATGCATTTGGTCCGTTGAGCCTCTGGGACACTGGAGAACGTCACTGGAAGAGCTACAGACAATTTTGTACAGACACATTTACTTTTATATTGTTTGTTTTCTTTTTATAAAACATATATTTTACGTTACTTTTATAGTTTTTCTCAACTTGATTCTCAAGAATGAGACAAAATATTGACAATCATTCAGCGTTTTATGAAAGAGTCTGTTTGTTTTTAAGAATTTGCTGACTATTAACTGTAATGATCAATAAAATGAAAATACAAAGCAGACATTCTCAAACATCAAAATATAAGATGAAAGATTAGTAGCGCAAGAGTGATGGACAACATATATTTAACAACAAAGACAAAACATGGGAAACAAACATTAAAGACAAACAAATTTAGTTTTTTGTTACTAATGTATCAGACCTTTGCCTTTGTACATTTGTTAGTGATTGGACTTTCCTCAGTATACCATATATTTAGTAGAATTTATTAGTAGCAGTAATATATCAAAAGGATCATTTCTAAATAGATATCCGAAGAAGACAATTAGCGTAAAAGTTTCTTTAAACACTTTCAACATTGGGATTACTAATTGTTTTACTTCAATCTTGAATAAAAAGTAATATCTTTAATGAAATCTTCATTAGCGGTGTAAGATCCTACAACAACCTATTAGTCTTGCATTTATTTGAACAATAGATTCTAGAAATTTAGTGACAGTTGCATGATTGAAGTGGTTAGTTTGGTAATCGGATGGATTGAGCTGGCGAAGATGACTGATGAATCACCTGGTAGGTCCACTGCAAACTGCACGGTGACATCATCTGTCTCACAAACATGTTCCCCAGGGTGAGACGGCTCGGATGTTTTGACAACAAGAGCTCTGAAAGTCTCCTCAGATTGTGTGATAACGTCACATTGTTGGAGATCCTCACCTTCCTTGTACCAGCACACCTCTGCCATTGTGCTTGATACCTCAGGTTGTGGGAAATTAGCCATGACTGTATCATCATTTGACTCGTTCCTTTTAGTCTCATGGATACTTGAAGTTTGCAAAGATGTAGCTAAGGGGTTTAATTTAATATGTTTTAATGGAAGCAGACAATTTGACCTAAGCAGGTAATATTAAAAAAAAAATGTTTTTATTTTATTTTAGTTATTTATTTTTAAAATAAAGCTTGAATGACTGAAACTGATTATGTAGCTGTGTGTATTTAAACTATTTTAAAATCACCTTGGACATCCACCTTAAATATTATGTCATCCTTTGATTGACCCAAGTCAGTGGATGGAGCATTCAGTCTTCGTACATCTTCCTCCATTTCAAGAATTCGTCCATTTTCATTTTCAGAGTAAAATTGTATTTTGTCCTTGTTCCAATGAACTGGAGAATCACCTTCAATGGGTCGGACAACTTCAGTTTCAAATGGTTGTGTAAATAATTCTTCTTTATGACCAGGTTCGGAGGGGACAAAGTAATGTGAGTATCGTATAGTGAGTTATCTATCAAGAGTGTGAATCAATTTGGGTACAGAACATTAAAGCAAAAAGACAGACGAAGTTAGTTGCTTTTGTTCATTAATGCTGTGTTAAACATAGCTTTAAATCACCTTTTAGTTCCTCTTGATAAGCAAATTCATCCTTGGTAACAGTCTCATGTGCTTCTCGCAGACATATATTTGATGGCTGGATGAGCTCTTGCTGTGTTGTCGGTACATTGAATATCACCGTTGCTTCATCTTGTTGGCAGGATATAGTTTTTTCTTGAGTTGTGAGGTCAGAGCTCTCAGTTAGCAGTACGTGCTCATCCATTCCACAAATTGGTGTGGAATTTGTCCTCGAGGCTAGGGATATTTCAAGTTATATGAAAAGAGACATGTATTAAAATTGTGACACATTACATTGCATATTTTAAGTCTACTAAGCTAAACTGCACTTATGTAGCCTTACAATCGATAATCTTACTATAGGTTTGTAGTATTTTTTCATGTCAAAATGTTTTTCTATTTCTGCTAGAAGTTAAATTCAAGATGATACAATAGCATTTTTTTAATGAGATGATCTTTGTTAGATAAATACTTGGTGATACAGTTTTACTGGTGAATAATAATAAAATGCAGCTACATTATTGAACAGGGCAGTTTTTGTTTCTAAATTCAGTAAATGGATCAAAATAGACGAATGACGTTAAATGGTTGTTAGGTGGTAAATGTCAATGGCTTATATTTTGCTCTCATCATTATTTGCAGAATGATGGAGCTAACTATTTAAATCACCTTCAACATCCACCTTAAAAGCTAAGACATCTTGATCCAAGTCACTCTCTTGTATTGGGATGCGATTTGAGCCCTCATCTTCAGAAATTGAAGTACTCTTCATTGGTTGCAACTGTGGTTGGAGCTGTTGTAGCTGAGGTTGCAGTTGTGGTTGTATCCGGGGTTGTAGCATTGGTTGTAACTGTGGTTGTAGAATTGGTTGTATCTGTGGATGTAGCATTGGTTGTAGCTGTGGATGTAGCATTGGTTGTAACTGTGGATGTAGCTTTGGTTGTAGCATTGGTTCTGGCTGCGGTTCCTCTCCGGTCAGTCTAAAGGTTGTTGGAATGGACATTTGGGTCCCTTCTCCAGACATTTCCCCTGTGAGTTTGTTGTTCTCTTTTTCAGATCTGATCTCAGCCTCAGTTCCCGATCTTCTCAGGAACTCTTCTATAGTTGAGTGGTTTACACAAAGAAAAGTTGAAGTACTTTTCTGTCTTCGTAATCAGAAAAGCTTATAAAGACGTAGTTTTATTGATTGGTTAATTTTAAAGATTATTTCAAGATTGAAAAAAAAAAAATGTAAGAGAGATGACCATATCACAGAGCGGTCTAAAAACAAGTCAAATATTGGTTAAAACACATATTAAAAACAAAACATGATTACGCAAGAAGTCAGATCACCACCTTTCATTCACTCAACCATTCATTCTGTTTTCCAGTTCTCTATAATTCAGTCAGCACAATACTGATGATGATTCTGAATGGCACATGAATAAGATGACTCAAGCAAATGTAGACAGAGTACAGTATAGGTTTAAATGAGATGAGCTTCAATGAAGAATGAAGATATGTAAGTCTATAGAATGAGTGTTAGTTTGGAAGAAGGGTTTGCAGACCAACTGGATGTTGGATAAAGACAGGACAGCATGGATTAGTTTTGGGAGCAATTTTGGGTAGGTAACCAAGATGCAGGGGACCAGAATCTTCAGGAAGAGCCATTGGATAGTAAAAACCACCCTTGTTAGTGGCACAGAGGTGCTGGGTTAAATGCTTGGGTTGAGGTAGCATTATATCACCTTTTATATCCACAGTGCACTGGACAGAGTCATCATAGGTCTCACCACTGAACACCTCATAGTGAGACAGTTCTGCTGTTAGGAAAGCCACAAAGAAAACAATAACTGACTTGCTTCAGTCATGTCAATGTTCCTAATTTAGAATGGCGTACAAGTAAGTGGCAAACCACCTTGGTCCATTTCAAACTGGATGGGATCATCTGGTGTCTTTGGGCTGTTTACTTCAAAAAGAGATGTATCAGGTGAGTGGATGATTAAAGTTCCTCTAGATGCATCTGAATGAATTTCAGGATCAGATTCAGCTTCAAATTCAGATTTAGATTCAAGTTCCAAGTCAGGTTTAAATTCAGCTGCAGGTTCAGAATGAGGAAGTATGACCTCCTCATCTTTGGTCTGGCTGACATAAGGAGTGGGATCTGAGATCTCATAATGCAGTGCAGCAGGTTCCATTTCTTCATTGCATTTGGTCATCTCAACTTCAGGATCAGCCAAAAATCTTGGTGGTGGCACTACAGATGACCATTGATAGAGGAAAGCTTTATTAAATGTGACTATTGTTCAAAACGCAGAAAGACAGAACCAACTATGGCCACTGAAACCAAGGGCATGTACAAGTAACAGTCAGAATTCATTACAAGAGAATAAAAAAGCTACGAAGAGCACACAATTGTTAGTTGTCACACGAAAACATTAAGAAGATTAGAAGCAAATATTTGAAAATCACCTTTGTCTTGTACATTAAATTGGATGACATCGCCCGTTCTCACACAGTCGTACCATCCAGAGTTAGAGGGCTGTGCTGTCTTGACAGCCAACGATCTCCTGGTACACTCCAATTTGATATGAGGCTGACTTTTTGAGACGAGCTCTACACCATCCTTGTAACAACACACCTTGGCATTTGGATCTGAGATCTCACCTTGCATATCAGTGGAGTAGTCTGCTTCAACCAGCTGGTTCTTCACAGTGTCTGATAATGCTGAGAACATCACCGGTGGGTCTAAAGGTGATCCGTTGCATTATTAAAAAATATACAGAATTAATATCCGTTATTAAAAGGTTATCTAGACTGCATAATCTGTGATTTCTCAGACCATCTGCCAAGTAGCAAGTTAAATAAAGTAATGCAAAACATGTAACATCTGTATCAAATCACTGCCCATAAGTTGGATGCATGGTGAGAGGCATGTCCAAATCAGCGAAGCTAAGAGACGCAGACAACAAAAAAGCTTGAATTGTTAGTGTGCATCTAGTTTTGCAAGTGTGTTACCGAATGTACAAGTTTCTCAAAAAGTCACAAATCACCTTTGATATCCACAGTGAACTGGACAGAGTCATCAGATGTTTCACAGCGGTACAATCCAGAATGACTAGGCTCAGCTGGATTGACTACTAGTGTTCTTGCATCTCCCTCTGACTGAATATCCAAACCAGTCTCTGGCTGAAGCTGTGTATTGTTGTGGAACCAGCAGACATGGACTGTAGGATCCGAGACCTTACAGTGGAGTTCAAAGTGGCCACCAGCTTCAGTGCAAATATTCTTCTCAGCTTCCGGAACAGCTGAGAATCTCACTGGTTCAGCTACAGATGATGGTTCATATCAGAATCATCAAGAATTACAAGAAACTACCCAGTTTAAAGGACCTATTGCTTTAAGATAACATGTAACAACTGAGTATACAAGAACATCATGACTGAAAAGATCATCCAAAATTGCAAAACTAAAGCAGAAAAAAGGAGACAGAGGTAATGTACAACATACAATCTTTGAAACATTTCGAAAGAACACAGAAAGTAGTTATTGTTAGTTGCATAATTGCAAGAAGACATAGAGTTAATTTGTAAGTCAGGAATAAAGATGGCAAATCACCTCTTATCTCCACTTGAAACTTGATGACATCATCCTTTGTTGTGCAGCTGTACACACCGGCATGAGAAGGGTGTGCTGACTGAATACTGAGTGTTCTCATGCAGTCATCTGATTTGATGTCTACTCCAGATTCTACAAGGAGCTGATCCCCATCTTTGTACCACTGGACCTGTGCAGTAGAGTCTGAAATCTCGCACTGCAGAATAATGGGGCAGCCTGCTTCAACGCACTTTCTCCGCTTAACCTCTGGGACAGCTGAGAACCTCACAGGTGGGGCTATGGATATTTTAGAGTGTTTTAAGTCCCACTTTATGATTTTAATAGTCATTTTTTACATTTTAAAAAAACATTGCCATTGTCTTGCCATTTGTTAGTTGTCTGGCAAAATAGAAATGTAACTTAATTCAGTTGTAAAAATATAATTCACCTTTAACATCCACATTGAAGTGGACAGCATCACCCCTTGTCTTGCAGCTATACATCCCTGAGTGGTAAAATTCAGCTGATTGGACAAACAGTTCCCTCTTTGTGCCCTTGGAATTGAAGTCTAGTCCACTTTGTGGCAGAAGTTTCGCACCATCTTTGTACCAGGAGACCTGTGCGAGTGGATCTGAGAGCTCACATTGCAGTGCTATTGTTGAGCCTGCTTCAATGGATTTGTTCCTCTCAGCCTCCGGAAGAACTGAGAACCTCACTGGTGGAGCTATATGTGTTTTCATTCAGCAGTATTTAGTAAACTTTAGAGACTTGCAAGTGCAAGATTCTTTCATTGGACAAATTCATTTGATTTTGAAAGGAGAAATAAGAACAAAAATGACTCACCCTCAACCTCCACATTAAACCTGATAACGTCATCAATAGCGTCGCAGCTGTACACTCCTGAGTGGGAAAAATCCGCTGATTGGATGACAATCCTCCTCATTGTTCCTTCTGATTGGATATGCAGACCTTCCATTGAGTTAAGTTCAACACCATTCTTATACCAACGAACTGGAGCCTCAGGGTCTGACAGCTCACAGTAGAGTACTATAGGGTTGCCAACCTCCACAAATTTGTTCCGATCCATTTCAGAAAGTGGAGTGAATTTCACCAGTGGAGCTGATTGAGAGGAATATATACAACACAGCACTGGTTAATATCCTCATAAATATATCTCAATGCAATGAAATCAAAGTTAAGTGTTCACCTTGTATATACAAAGCAGCAGAATCTCGAATTCCGTAAGCAATGAAGGTGATCTCTGCTCCATTGTCTGTGTCTCGTACACCGCGGATGCGTAGGGACTGGTGTGTACGTGAACGCCTTATTGAGAAGCGGTCATCGTCTTGAAGCTGATTTCCATTTAGAAACCAAGTGCCTATTACTGAGGCAGAGAGCTCAATGGTAAAACAGGCATCCTGGCCCTCTGGTACTAAAGCATCTTGTAGAGGTGCTTGGATTCTGGCAACTGGAACTAGAAAGAATGAGCTTTGTTAGTGTTTTTGGTCCATGTATGCAATGGACAGCCTTGTAAAGGAGCTTACCAAGGTGAACTGCTCGAGGGAACTCTACATTCCCACTCCTTCCATATTTGTTGACACTGCAAATCCGAAATCTGTAGTCTGCCTCGCATGGAACACTGTCGCCAAGAATCTCCACTGAGGTTGCAGAGTCTGTAGTCAAACATTGCAGCCACTCTTGTGAGCCAACCTCTTGTCTCTCAATTATGTACCCTGAAGGTGGATTCTTTCGAGAGTCTTGTGCTGGAAACCAGGAAAGAAGAGCTGCATTTGCTCGTTCTGTGTTTATCTGTACCCCATTTGGACAGCTTGGTGGACAGTGCCTTGCCGCTGAAATTAGCACAAGAGAAGTTGTTAAAAATAATAGATTTGGGCATTCTGGAATACAAGTGTTTACATATTAATAATTCCAAAGAAAAGTTGTCATACCTTTCACCCGTAGCTGAGATGAAGTTTTTGATCTACCCACATAGAACATGACCAAACCAGAGTCTTGTGGTGTGGTGTTTACAAAGACCAAAATGTGTGTCCTTCCAAAAGATTTGAGAATGGTCTGATGGGTCTCCCTTAGCTCTGTTCCATCTTTGTACCAATGAATGTCCATTTCCTCCTCCTCCACCTCCACACAGAACGCTGCATTTTCCCCCTCCAGGACATCAACTTTTCGTGGCAGCTTTCTTACTATAGTGCCTTCAAGAGAGCCACTTAAGTTATCCAACTGCAAATGCTACTCAGATGAATTTGTTTTCCCAGATAGATGATGGCAAATATAAATAACTTTTTTGTTTTACCTTTGACTGCTACCTCTGCAATGCTTCTACCCCCATCAGCCATCTCGCATAGATAAATCCCATCGTCATCAACTCCAATATCACGAATTGTCAGTCGACGCTTTGTCCCCCACTCTTCCATCCCATATTTGGCTCCAGGCTGTAGTCGTCTGTCTTCTAAGTACCATGTGATTGGAACAGAGTCCTCAGGAACTTCACACTCAAGAACAGCCAAGTCTCTCTCCCATACTTGCAAGTCGTTGAGTGGCTGCTTAAATCGAACAGGTGGCTCTGTCACAAGAAGGAAGGACCCAAAAAGGAGTTTTAAAAGTTTTCTTTATGTCAGTAATGGATAGATCTGCATTCCCTCAGAGATATATTGATTGCACACATTACCTCACCCAACTGACAATAACCAGCACATGTAGTGTTTTGGATACTGATGTGCTAGTGTCCCAGGCATGCTTTTTAACAAACTTAGCCTGCAAGACTTCTTTAATGGAACAGCTTCACCATACAAACCATGGTCAACTGCATGTTCACCTTTTATAACAACACCAGTATACTCTAGCCTCAATCACCATGGATATTCATGCATGTGTAACCCCTGTTACACATGGAAATTCAAAGTAATCTAGTTGATACAGCTTTTCTTTGTCCAGTAGTGGCTTTGAGGTAATCTGTAATCAGTAATGATATTACTTTTGTGTTATTATACTATTATATTTGGAAAGTACTGTTTGTACAGTATTTTTACATTTTTAATTTTTAAATATCTAAAGAATTCTTGAAACACAAATTTATTTATAATCAACTCTAAAAGATATTTAGACTAGTTTTCAGAGAATTTAAAGGAGTAGTTCACTTTTCAAAAAACTTTTGCTGATAATTTACTCACCCCCATGTCATCCAAGATGTCCAAGATGTAAAATCTTAAGACTTTTATTCTCCATATAATGCAATTCACTGGTAACCAAACGGTTCAAGGTCCAAAAGACACTTTCAGTACAAACTGCAAACTTTTCAAAGGGCTTTAAACGATTCCAGACGATGAATAAGCGTCTTGTCAAGTGAAACGATCGCTCATTAAAAAAAAAAAAAAAAAAAAAGTTTAAGTTTTATTAGCTCAAATGCTTGCCTTGCTCTGTACTGCGATGCACGTTCGTGACTCTACTGTTCGAACTTGTTCATCAAAATGAACGAATCTTTTTCCGAATCAATTTGTTCGTTTTGTTCGTTGAACGAACCAAATGACTCGGAAAAAGATTCATTTGAGCAAGGCGAGCATTTGAGCTTATAAAGCTTAAAGGGGGGGTTGATTGCAATTTCACTTTTTTCATTTTAAATAGTGTGTAATATTGCTGTTGGTGGATGAACAGTATCTGCAAAGTTGCAGCACTGAAAGTTCAATGTAAGCAGAGATATCGTCTTTTAAAAATCAGGAAGTTTAATGCCTACAAAAACGACTTGATTGGGACTACAGCTGGGTTTTAGACGTCACTAACCCATACATTTGCATCAACCCCTCCCTCCGGAATATACAAAAAAGGGCTCGGCCATATTTCTGCGGCTCGTCGAGTGTGTTGTGTTCATCCAGCTGTCGGGTCTTCTGTGTTCGAGCTTCCCACGGACGCTGTACTTCGTCACCAATGGATATAATTTATGTTTGATTATGTTCCTGAAAATGATGATCGTAATTTAGCTCTCTGTGCTGCGCATTTTACGATCGAGAGACAGCTTCCAGAATCTCCACGAATTCAATGCCGGATTCAACAAGAAACTGTTACTAAAACATGAAGCAATTCCAACTTTAAAACCAGAGGCAGCAGTTGTTGGGTCACAACCTGTAAGTAGGCTAAGACTTCATCATTTTAAATGTATGTGCATGTATATTTTCAGACGTAGCCTTGTGTTTTATTTTTTTCAAATGCCAGCACTGGCTTTATAGCCACTAGGCTACTAGTTATGCTATTTTGTGTCTACGACAAACGCATACAAACAATATGGACCTGAATTTTTTATAAGTACCAATGTTGTAAATGTATTTTCATGTATATAATTTATGGCAGTATTATTGATTTGATCAAGAATGTAAACCAATGCCAACGCTGGTTGTTTATATAGTAGCCAGTCAGTTCAATGCTATTGTGTAAAACAAACATGCATAAAGTTAAAATATATAGGCAAATTACCATTCAGAACTACCATTCGTTTTGTAAGAGCCGGCCCGTGTGTGGTGAGGTTCTGCTTGTCTCTCTTCATCGCCGCTTTCTGGGTCTGACTGATTCTGGCTCATTCTGATACTGCAGTTCGACGCCATTATTTACATCTGGACAGGAGCTCATGCATGTTTTGCCCGTAAAGGTAATGGGCGTTAACCTTCCGGACAACGTGAGCTACAGTTTAGCTAATCACAACACACCGGCCCAAACTAACCAATCTGAGCCCATTGCCTGTTTCTGAGGGAGTGGTTTCATAGACTCAGGAAGTCAACCAGTCATTCAGAGGACAGAGGAGAAAGTGGCTGACAATAAAGGTGAAATTTATGAAAAATAAGACTTTTTTAAAAAGAAAAAACACGAATACATGTTATATTGCACCCCATAAACACAATCATGCAAAGAAAAAAAACAGTAACCCCCCCTTTAAACTTTGTTATTTGTTTATTAAATGAGCAATCGTTTCTCTTGATAAGAGACTTATTCATCGCCTGGAATCGTTTAAAGCCCTTTGAATAGTTTGCAGTTTGTACTGAAAGTGTCTTTTGGACCTTGAACCATTTGGTTCCCACTCAAGTGCATTAAATGGAGAAAAATGCTGGAATGTTTTCATCAAAAACCTTAATTTCTTTTCGACTCAAGAAAAATTGACATGGACATTTTGGGGGTGGGGGGGGGGGGGGTAAATTATCAGCAAAAGTTTTTTTAAAAGTGAACTACTCCTTTAATAGGAGGGTATTTTGTGGTGTTCAATGATTTTAAGTATAAACAAGTTTAAAAACAATCTGCCAGTGCAGTAAGGCTAACATTCAAGAAAACAATTATGAAAACTTTAGATTTATACAAGTCTTAAGATTTTAGCAGTATTGCTTCTCAAATATTCTTAAAATTATTATTTTTAAAAATTATTCTTAAAAATTATTTTTAAGCTTTTATTCTGGAAAATTTGCAAAAAAAAAGATAAAATCCCATTACGTTATTTTTATTTATTTAATTTTTTTTTGGTGGTGTACCTTGCTTTTTTTAGGTTATGTCTTGACACCACATCCTTGACATTATTGATGTATTTTTTTGTCTGGTTCGTGCTTGCTTTAGTAGTCATACCTTCAATTTAGCCTTGCTGACTCAGAAACCCTTTTGAGCTTTATGGTGTTGTCTTGCTCTGATACAATATAGTCATGCAAAGCAGTCAGTTTTGACTGTTTAATGGTCCATGTGAGAAATATGATCTTGCCTCAAGAGATTTCTATCACATGTGTGGGCCTCAGGCCTTTCAAAGCTTAAGTGATTTTGCAGATATAGGACTGGATGGGCTCTATTTCATGTTAATGAGTTTGGCCTGGTCAGGTAATTTTAAAGCTCCCTTGATGCATTTCCTATAACTGAATCATCATAAAAGTTACTGTTGATTGGGGAACCAAATGCTTGACACAACAGCTGGCAACTGGCTTATTAATTGTACAGGCCATACTGTTGCCAAACTAATACATACTGTATAATGTTATTGATCAGGTGGTAAAACCTAGCCTAGGAAAACCCAGACAACTTCCGGCAAATTTAGATTTGGTCTAAAAGTTAGTCTGGCAAAGAGCTAATTCAAGACCATTTCCAATCCGCCGAAATCGCGGCACCAATCAGACACGTGGGGCGGGCTTTACACGATGACGACAGCACAGCGACAGTGAAGCAGATTTTGTACATTCACAAAGGGGTGTGACGGTTATAGTTGAACACCGTCATTAGAACTCTACAACCACCAAAACCATGCTATTAAGATATTTTTTTTTCACAAAAATTTTTTTATCATAGAGAATGTTTAAATACTAATATCAGCTTACGAGGGAAACTGAGGCCGAGTTAGTGGTGCTTCAGAGACTGCTACTGCTGGAGATGATTCGGGAGAGGTCTGTGCACCTTTACCGATCAGAGCGCGCGCTGACACGGAGTAAAGCCTTGTTTATACTGTACTCGACGCGTCCGCACGAGCGCGAAGGTGCGCGGCAAAAATGATGCGTTCAGAGCGCAAGACCGACCCCATTTCCCTTGCTGTGTGCACGGCTTTTTTTTGTAGCGGCGCCTCGTCCGAGGATGAACGACTTCAAGTCGAATCTGCCCGAGCATGTATGTCTCACCCATAGACAGTAAGGTCTCACCATACAGGCACGCAGTTTGCGTTTCTAAATTGCAAAGTTCATTGCAAAGTTTGTTGGTTAAGGTTTTGTTTACTGTGTGTGATTTATATGATAGAACGCACATTCACTTATAGTTGTTTTGCCTTTAATTTTAAATAAACGTAGAGCAAGTAGCTAATCAGATTGTCGGCTCGTTGATTCAAACAGATGAAAGTCGCTCTGCAAACGTCATCTCCTTCAGCGCTCTGATTGGTTTTAGGTCTATACAATTGCGCCCAGAGACATTTGAGCTATAGACGTTGGTGACGCCCCTTTGGAAATGATTTGTCTATAAAGCTTTGCCAGACCATAACTCAGTTACAATTTACTGAGAATGGTCTGGTTTTAACCAGGCTAGGTAAAACCATAACATTGTATTGAATTTGTACTGTCCTGTATCTATCGTATTCCAAATGAGGTGTCTCTTACCTTTGACAATAAGGTGTACAGCACTCAGGGTTTGGCCTGCAGTGTTTGAAGCAGAACAGACATAAACTCCATTGTCCTGTTGTTTGCAGTAGAGAACTTTAAGTGTGAAGTAACCCTCTCTGTCTTCATACAGGAGATACCGTCTCCCAGACAAGATAAGTCTCCCATCTTTCCTCCATAATATTTCTGGTTTTGGCTTCCCAGTTACATAGCAACGAAACTTTGCATGTTTCCCTTCTGTCACTGCAAACATTTTCACTTTGGCAGAGTTTGGTAGAGGGTCATCTTTCAGCCTTGTTGCAACTTGCCTACCACTTCTCTGTTTTCCCTGATGTGCTTTCCAGTGGCCATTAGTGTATCCATTACGGTTCCCATCGTCTTCGTGTCCTGGTCCTGCATCCACCAACAGCACAGCCCCTGCCAGACTCTCTCCAAATTCATTCCTGGCCTTACACGTGTACACCCCTCCGTCTGGTGCTCTTGTCTTGAAAATCTTTAGCTGGAACCACCCTCCATCCTGATAGCTGATGGTGAAATGTGTGCTCTCAAAGATCTCATTCAACTTCTTGCCATCCTTCTCCCACATCACTTCTGGTCGAGGGTTTCCCCATAGCTTACAGGAGAACATTGCATCCTCTCCTCGTCCAACCCTAGTCGAGAGGGGCTTGATGAGGAAGCGCGGCTTATTTTCCTCCCGAAATTCCATCTCCTGTGCTTCGCCTTCTACTTTCAAAGTGGCTGCTGCGTACGTCTCTCCAATGCAGTTCTTGGCCTTACAGATGTATTGTCCACTGTCCTCCTTTGTCACAGAAGTTATGATAAGGTTGTAGACATTGCCGTCTTCAAACACCCGGTATCTGCCCTCTGGGTGAATCTTCTCATTGTTTCTCTCCCATATAACTGCTGGTCTGGGATCCCCGCTGATCTGGCATTTCAGAACTGCTTCTGTGCCACTCTGTACAACCACTGGACGAGGGTAGGCCAGGAACCGTGGTGCTCCACCAAACACATCCATCCCTGCTCGCTTGCCAACCTCCACTCAGAGGGACAGGCTACAGGCATTCAGTCTCTGTCACTCTAAAAGAATTTTGTTGTCCAGCTGTTTATCAAGTAAGACTCTAAATCATAACAAACAAACAAAATACACTTAATATCTGATTTGACAATAACCAGACATTTCGTACTTTTATATAATACTGCATGTAAATACCAGGGTTGTGCACCATTCAATATTCCAATTTGAATTGAGGTAGCAAACAGGATTAAATTTGAATATAAATAAGAGCAATTATAACGAATTTGTAATTTGTTTTGAAAGACTATATTAAAAGCTTTAAAATTTGAAATTCATAAGCCTTAGACATGTAGGTGTAGTTAGATGTACTCAATCCTTTACTTTTGAATTCCAATAACACAGGTTAATACAGTCTAATAACAACAGTCTAGAGGCCACCAGTACCTAAATAGTTAGTCAAACAGGAAATCATTTAATGTAATTAATTTAGTAAATCTGCAGAACTTGTACTTCAGCAATTTTCATGTTAGTTTGTTTATTGCATAATGCTGCCTTAAACTGCACCTGGGAAGCTTTGTATCTAACAAATTACTTGTCTAAATCAAACTTAGCTTTACTGTATGTTAAGCTCTGTTGTATGTAACAAATTCATTTTATTGAAACAGAATTCATTTCAAGGGTACAATATGCAGGATTTTTGCAGTAAAATATCCAAAAACCACTAGGCCAATGTTATATATTTTGCTTAGTTGATTACTTACAAGGATTTTTTTTGCAAAATTGCAATGGAAACGCATTTACAGTCACCTGACTTAGAAGACGAAGTGTGTTTTAGGTCCGTGTCCGCAAATAATAATAATAATTATCATCATTAGCCTATTATAACATTTATTAGGCTACATATGTAGAAGACGCTTTTATCCAAAAAAGGAACAAAGCAATTTGTCACATCTCATTCATAGTACAGGTTGGACAATAATAGGGCTAAGATTATCACAAATAAACACTCGATTTTGTCCAATATCCAAGAGTGTGTGCGGAGTTTGGAGCACGCACTGGATGGCAGACTTTCATTTTCCCATCAACAGTGGAATCAACTTAAAATACTCTATCATTTCTGGATATACAGAAAATAATAATACATTATTCGCAACTACTTTTTATTTGCGTAATGTCACAATAACAAGAAAACGTTGTGCTTTTGTAAAATAACATAAAACAATCAGGCGCGCTTTATGATCTTCGTGAACTGGAGCGCGAGAACTGAATCAATAGGCTTTATAGACTAAAGCTTTAAATGTCCACTTTAAAAAGAACAAATTCGAATCGTAAATTAATACCTTCTGATTATGTAATCTGTATGAAAGGTGCAGTTCTCTCTAAAGGTGCATCCGGAGATTATGTATTTAGCTCTTTATTTTTTTCAGACGCATTTATAATAACGTCTCAGGTTACGTATGTAACCCTGGTTCCCTAAGAAGGAACGAGAGCTGCGTTGTCAAACGCGATGGGAACGCTCTGCGTGATTGCGTCGTGAAGCGTCTGTACAATCAGTCCAATGAGAGAGTAGGACGTCTGGTAATGTCATTGACTAGGAAACTATATAGCACCCTTGAGATCAGACCGTTACAGCTTCTGAAAAAGCCTGAAGCAAGTCGATCAGGGCATGCAGGAAGTATGGCAGGCGAACGCAGCTCTCGTTCCCTCTCAGGGAACCAGGGTTACATACGTAACCTGAGACGTTCCCTTTCAAGGGAACTTCAAGCTGCGTTGTCAAACGCGATGGGAACCCCATACCCACTATGCCAAACTGAGAAATGCCCGTTCTGTGTGAAGTCGAATTCGCACACTTAAGAAGCGAGCTACCTAGCCCCGGGAGTGGAGAGGTCTAGGTCATAAAACCTGACAAATGTATGCGGTGAGAACCAGCCTGCCGCATTACAAATGTCTTGAAGGGAAACACCTGAAATTAAAGCCTTAGAGGCAGCCATACTCCTTGTAGAATGGGCACAGACCTCCATAGGAGAGGGACGTCCGACCGCATTATAAGCAATAGAGATAGCCTCAACTATCCACTTACTCATCACTCATCTCGATGCCGAGCAACCTTTCTTATTTGAACCAAAGCAGACGAATAACTGCTCTGACTTACGCCACAGGGCAGCTCTGTGAACATAGGCATCCAATGCCCGAACTGGACATAACAGATTGAGATTTTCCTGATCTGGAGTAATGAAGGGTGGAGGACAGAAGGCCTGCAGCACAATAGGACCCATCACATTAGTAGTGACCTTAGGAATATATTCCAGCCTAGGGTATAGAAATGCTTGAACCATACCAGGTGTGAATTCCAAACATGAAGGAGCAACCGGAACAGCTAGTAGATCTCCAATTCTCTTAATAGAAGAAATAGCGAGAAGAAACAGAGCTTTTAAGGTGAGGAATTTTTCTGAAACCTCTTCGATAGCCAAAGCCAGACCCTCGAGTACAATGGCCAGGTCCCAAGCCGGCGCTCTGGAGTGCAAAGCAGGCCTCAGCCTCAGTGTTCCACGGAGAAAACGAGTTATTCGGAGAAGAAGCCCCCACAGGGGATCTTAAGGCAGATATAGCCGCAACATACACCTTCAAGGTGGAGGGAGTTAGTCCAGTAGAGAAACGGTCTTGAAGGAAATCGAGAATTGTACCGACCGGGCAGTCAACAGGATTTAAAATACGTTCTCTGCACCATGTAGAGAACAATTTCCATTTCAGATAATAAAGTTTTCTCGTGGAGGGAGCTCTGGATTGAAGAAGGGTCTCCACGACCTCAGTCGAGAGGCCAAGCCCATAGCTTCCACAACGGGGCGAGGGTGAAATCGGGCCGAGGGTGAAATATTGTGCCCCCCGCCTGTGAAAGCAGGTCCCTCCTGACCGGAATCTCCATCGGAGAGCCGTCCAAGAGAGACACTAGGTCCGCAAACCATATTCTGGTCGGCCAGTACGGGGATACTAACAACAGATGAGCCCCTTCTTGACGAATTTTTCCAGAACTCCCGGGAGCATTGATATCGGGGGAAATGCATACAGGTGTAGCCTCGGCCACACCTGCACCATCGCATCCAGTCCGAGAGGAGCTGGCTGTGTGAGAGAGAACCATAACGGACAATGAGTTGTCTCCTGAGTTGCAAATAGATCGACCTGAGCCTGACCAAAGTTCTCCCATAGGAGCTCCACCACCTCCGGGTGGAGTCTCCACTCCCCGGGCCTCAGCTCCTGTCTCGACAGAATATCGGCCCCCACATTCAGATACCCCGGAATATATATTGCCCTCAGTGATAACAATTTCCCCTGGATCCATAGGAGGATCTGCAGAGGCAACTTGTTTAAGGCTCTGTACCTCAAACCCCCCGATGGTTGATGTAGGAGACCACCGAAGTGTTGTCTGTGCGGACAAGCACATGATGGCCCCTCAGGTCTGGCAGGAAGTATTTGAGAGCCCGAAACACTGCCATCATCTCTAAGTGCCAAGACTACTGATGGTCCTGCCATAGACCTGTCGCCGAGCGGCCACTCATGACCTCGATGACCTCGATGACCAGCCTGTCAGGGAAGCATCCGTCGATAACATGACGCGTCGACAAGGAACCCCCAAAACTGGGCCCTGGGCGAGGAACCAAGGTTTCTTCCACATGTCCAAAGCACGTAAGCATTGCCGCGTGACCTTGATCATACGGAACGGATTTCCCCTCGGAGAAAACCCCTTGGTCCTGAGCCACCACTGCAGGGGTCTCATGTACAAAAGGCCAAAAGTAATCACGCTGGACGCAGCTGCCATGGGCCCCAACAGTTTCTGAAACTGTTTCACAGTGAGTGACTGGCCTAGTTTCACATTCTTTACGGCTGTAAGGATTGCAGTAATACGTGCTGGAGACAATCTTGCTTGCATCGTTGTCGAATCCCACACTACCCCCAGATAAGTGGTCCTCTGTGCTGGAAGGAGCACACTTTTCTTGGTGTTCAGCCGTAATCCCAACCTTTTCATGTGTGACAGAACAACATCTCGATGTTGAACCGCCAACTGCTCTGACTGAGCTAGGATCAACCAATCGTCGATATAATTTGGTATGCGAATGCCCTGGGATCTGAGAGGAGCCAGTGCTGCATCTACGCATTTCGTAAAAGTACGGAGTGATAAACCTAGGCCGAACGAAAGGACCCGATATTGGTAAGCTTTACCCCTGAAAGCAAACCTCAGGAAACTCCTGTGATGAGGATGGATGGATATGTGAAAATAGGTGTCATTCAAGTCTACTGTGACAAACCAGTCCTCGGACTGAATCTGTGACACAATCTGTTTGAGTGTAAGCATCCTGAACTTGAGCTTTTGAACTCTGCTGTTTAGCTGACACTGTGGGAAGGACCCCTAAAAATCTGGGTGGACGAGAACCGAACTGAATTCTGTACCCCCTTTCTATCACCTGCAGGACCCATTGAGAAATATCTGGCAGTAGTTTCCACGCTGCCATGAATTCCACTAAGGGGACCAGTCTCTCGAGACTGGCCTCGGGAACTGACCGTTCTACGACCCTCCTCGGAGGACCGTATGGGGACGCTAACACCTCGGTGCCCTGAAACGGCGAACCGACAGGGAACAACCGATGTGGAAGCGCTGCGATGCTCCTTGGAGCATCGCCCCCCAGAGGGCGCTGAGGAGGAATGATTTCTCGAAACCATCCCTCCCCGGAGGGGACCACCCTCAGAAATCTGACCCCCTGTGAGTCACTTCTTCTTACTCCAGGCCTTAGAGATGACAGTCCTCAGATCTTGCCTACCCCTAACCGACCTGGATTGTGACCGCCACTGAGGCTCCGAAGATTGTGGAGGACCCCGGGCGGCTACGCTTCGCCTTTGGTGTGCTCTGTGTGAGGAGCTAGTACTCGGTTGAGGCTGCTCAGATTTAATAAAAGTTCAACGACCAGCAGCCTCAGGAACATCAAAATGGCGAGGAAGAATTTTCTAAAATGCAGCTGACCAGGGGCGGAGTGGGACCAAAAAATCTACCGGGAAATTTTGTAGACTACCGACCCTCATCGCCGGCACGATTTTAATAGCCGATAGCATTTA